AACCAGCAGCCGCACAGCGGCGCATGATACATAGGCAGAATAACATTACCGACAAAGACAAGGGAGACTGGAATGGCCATTCCGTATGAACGATCGGTGAGCGCCCCCTACCACTGTATATTCCCGATCGAAAACCGACAAGGCAACGGGCTCGTGGCCCGGTGAGTAGAGGCGTTGACTTCTAAACCAACAGGTCGCGAGTTCGAGGCTCGGGTGTAGCACACTTCGGACTTGGGTATGGCTGGCTGACGACGGCTAATAAGCCAGAAATGGCCATTCCAGTCTCCCTTGTCTTTGTCGGTAATGTTATTCTGCCTATATATATATATATACACACACACACACACAAGCCTCTGAACAGCGGAAGAATAGCCCTACCCAGATGCGAGAAGTTGGGATTTACCAGTATCGAGTTCCCCCAAAACACGCTTCGAATAACCTTTCTTGCGCTTAGATTCGAGGTTTCCCGACAATCAAACACTTCCCGGGCGGAGTTAAATCCGGGGCCGCCCGAGAGTACGATGGTGGTCGGTCGGCCGACGACATCGTGGCGTGGGCGCTTCAACAACTAGCCAAGAACAAGCCGCCCCCGGAAGTCCTGGAAATAACCAGTAACACCGTCCTCCAGGACGCCTGCGCAGAGAAACAGCTCTGTATCATCGCTGTACTGCCTCATCTCCTGGACTGTCAATCCAAGTGTCGAAACGGCTACATTGACTTGCTGAAGAAGGGCGCCGAGAAGTTTAAGGACAACGACTGGGGGTAGGTTACCTCATGTCGCATAAATCTAGGTTGGTGCAGTTGTTGTAGGCCGACTGTTCATGCATTCTGATGTCACATTTTGCCTTCTTGTGGGTAAGGATGACATTTATTTCTCTGCAGGTGGCTCTGGGCGCCAGCCAGATCGCATCCCGACTTGGAAAAGACTCTGGAAATTGGTGGCTTTGGATACCCGGTAAGGCTTGTGTAAAGTTATTTTCTCCGCAGGTAGCACTATGATTTCTAACACAGCCTCCTCCTCTATCTTGGCGCCGAACCGGTGTGATTTCAAAAATGGTGTTTGGTATTCTGATTAAGACAGTAAGGGAAACTCTGCATTAACAGTCACATCAGTTAACATGACTTTCTGCAGGGAATTGCAACGCCCAAACAACGGTTTTGCACTGTAGCCAGAACTGTTCCACTGAAGAATCGAAGTGTTGGGAACCAGGGGAAGGGGATACAGGGCCTGTCGGTCGTCTTTCCTGCTGACTACCCAGCTCATCAACGGAAAATGAGTAACAGAACGGCCCTCAGCGCAGACTGGCTAAGAAATAAACAGGCTTTCAAATCTGACGGATGAGCAGGCGTGGATCATCAGCGACACCGCGAAGAGGACGCAGAAAGTTGGGGTCTTGATCGTGGACTCCCATATAAAGTTCTGGGGTCTAATTACGTCACTGGCAGTCCTGAATCGCCACCTGCTTGGTTTTCTTTATTGTTGTCTCATACTCCGCAAGGGACGAATTGGGCACTAGGGAACCCAAGCTGTGTCGAGTTCCTAGGCCACCATATCTTAAATCATGAGCCTCGGTGTTTCCAGCGGACGATAAATTTGGACCGGTGGAAATTATGGTATGTATGCAAGCTGGTCTGAGCGCATCTTTAGTTGCACGCTGTAATTCAGGACCCTTCCCGCGGCTGCAAAACAAACCGAACTATGGAATTTGCCTGCCTCTCTAAAATATGCTTGCTAGACCACGACTGAAGCAGTATTAGGACGCTGGTAGAGGGGCGCTCAGTGATCGTTTTTACGGATCTCACTCGTCCCGTTTTGCTTTAGGGCTCTGTCGAGCCCAACCAGCAGCTGCACAGAGGCACATGATATTGGCAGAATGGTATTACCAACCTCTACCACTATATGTTCCCGAACGCAACCGACAGGGCAACGAGCCGGTTGCTCAGTGGTTAGACGCGTTGGGTTTCTAACCAACAGGTCGCAGGATCGAGCCCCAGGTGTTCCACACCTCGGGGTTGAGTATGACTGGCTGACGACGGTTAATAAGCCGGAAATGGCCATTCCAATCTCCGTTGTCTTTGTTGGTTACACTGTTCAGTATTGAGACGTGTGGCTCTGGAAAATGCTTTTACAACAATGTCATCGGAAAACCTTGCCGACAATGAGAAAGCAGCGCAAGTCCACCAAGAATCACACCTGTCTGTTTTCCTGGTGCTGTTACCAATCCCACTGCTCTTATAGTCGGTGTCCCATGTGAATGTTGCTGTAATAACGCTTTCTGTGAGATGTACCGGGATACTGAGTGACCGTAAACCGCCATTGAATAGGCTTGATTGTCATCACTGCCTTGTGATTAGGTTATTAAGCCAAGGCGCTGGAGGAAACACCTACGGTACCCAAAATCCCTAAGAAACCACATGAAAATGTCTAGCTACAATGTTTCGATCCATGCCACGGCATCCGCGGGCTCCGCAATCCTGGGCGAATAGTATGTGTGCTGGACTACTCAATCAGGAACGGATTCATGATATTGGATGCTGGGATGTGCGAATGTTTTAGTCCCAGGTGCCCTAAGTCCGACGTCGCGCGGTCTTCGTTAGTACAGCGTGAATGTCGGCTGTCTGTCTAAAGTCTAATTCGTGACTCGCGCTCAAGAAATAAAGATACCGAGTTAACCCCCACTTCAGCCTGCACCACAGGAACCCACTCAATACTTCTGGTAGAAACTGTGTGGCGATCGGCATCTCGCAACAAGCAAGCTGCACTACTTGCGCGGGAACCAGTCAATGACTGAATGGCTTACGTGCGACTTAAGGGTCACCTGACGAATATCTAGGTAGTCTCCGTGTACGCTGGCGAACAGCGCGACAAAGGGGCCTTCTACTCGCAACTGTAGCAGTTAGTTGAAAGACTCCCTCGCCGTGGTCTGCTTATTGTTGCCGGGTACTGAAATTACTGAACTGCGCCCGGAGACTTCCAGCGGTCGCCTTATTGGTAGCCTTTGGTCTGGCTCTTGGTGCGACTGGCGAGCGAATACTGAACCTTGCTGGTCAGAACGACTATCTGCCACCAACACGTGCCTCCAGCATTGCCACAAACATCCGTTGAATTTATTTTCAAACAATGGCCAAACGGCCAGTCAGATGAACTGATGGTAGGTTCGAGCAGAATTCCGAAACGTCACGCTAATAAAGCTCTTGTCCCAGCGATCGTGTCCCCTTCTTCAAGAACTGCATTGTAGTTGATTCAAGTTTCCGCAGCTGGCGTCGCGATAGCAGATCGATGCGTGGTGCTGAAACTGGTGACTTCCATGGGGCTGACCATGTCCACGTTTGCACACGTCGGAAAGTCCACCTCTCATGCGCACCTAGGATGTCACTTGCAAGACGCCTTGGTGTTGCGAACTTCGAAAACCCAGCACCGCCGAGGTCCTGAGCAGACAGATCCGGTTTCTCATTACGACCCGAGCTGAGGGAGAAGGCGGTAGCCAATGGTCATAATTGAAGCCATCGGTGTACGAGGCAGCAGGCAAATTTCATGGATCCACCCAGTGGCTCTGTTGCCATGACTGGACCGTCGAAGAACCCTACAGTTTTTTGTCTAGACAGCTGGAGGCAGGTTCCGCATCAATTCACCTTACCGCCAACACCGGGGAATGGAAGCAAAGTCGGCTAAGGATTGTCGCATGCAATATTTGGGCTGAGGTAGCGATCCCCATGGAGCAGGCCTCAAACATTGATAACAATCGAAAACTACTAAATTATCCACTAAGTTAGTGGTACGTTCTCTGCGCCAAGTGGTTCTGATCGCGATGTGAATAACGTCTTGATAGCTGACACGACGGCCAAGGTAGGGCGATGGCGTGTACATTTCGGGCACTTCAACACCGATAACTCACCCACCATGCCTTCGCTGTCCACTGCAGCAGAATTTCGTCCCTATGCAGACCAGTGTCATGTGTTCCCCTTCTCAGGGGTGAGATCGCCGATACGGTACGGAGACCGCATAGCAACAAGGCGCCCGGAGAGGACAGTACTCTCGCCGAAGTCTACAGGTTTTGTGCTGACACTGGCGCTCTACCTCCAGGAGATGGCTGAGCAACCGTGCGGAGCTGAGGCCATTCTTGATGACTGGGGCACGCGCATCCATGTGCTTGTCTTCAAGAAGGGAGACCACGCAGTGCGATAAAACCGCCGCCTTAGCGTCATCGACGTTAGTACGAAGGTCTTTGGTGTTGTCATCCTTAGGCAGTTCCAGGGTTTGGGCACGTTCTTTGTCGTCCGCCTCATGAACTCTGTCGCTGCCCGCGATCCGGCGCCGTTGCCCACCTTGAGGCGTCGAGGAGAAGGAGGAGGTCAACGTAAGACGTTCAAGACGTGGAGGTGAGTGGTTCTTGGACCTTCGGTGTTCCGTTCCGTCGTTGGAGAAGAGAATGGGTCGGCCTCTCCAGATTATCTGGCGCGGATCGTCTGTGACATCGTCGAGGCCGACTAGATCGGGCATGATCACAGCTGTACCAAATGCAAGTAATCAAGTAAACAACATTGTCGCAACGAGTTCTAGGATATATTTGACGGGTATCTCGAAGACGCCTCTAATACCAGGACCCTACCGAATTTTGAAAAATGTGCCAGTCGCATCTTTTGTCATTACATCTGATGACTCCATCTTACCGGCCCAAAAACCGGCGACAACCAAGCTATGGCAATAGCTCCACCGAGCAATGCTGCTCGCCGACTGAGGAACTATTTGGCCCAGCTTCTGAGCGCCATGGACTCATCTGCCCTAACTGCCATGTTCACAAACTGGTGTACTGGCCTAGTTACACCCATTTTCATTGTGAGAACTGCCATGACTTAAGCCACTTTAATTGTGCCCTGAATTCGCGCAGTCATCCCCTTCAATCGCTTGTGCTTCTACCGTGATTTGCGTGCAGGATGGAGTCCCTGCTACCCTCGGGTTATTTTCATCTATATTCGCCGTGGTCGAACATTTCTCATGATGGCATGCCGCATGACAAAGACCTATTTCTGAACCCTCTCATCGTCGTTATGTGTCAGATCTATGTTTCATCGAAAGATTGTAGTTCCGTCCAGAACCGCAACTGGCTATGTCCCTACTTGCCGACTCAAATGTCTGACTGGTGTGCAGCAAGACTTGTGGACTAGTGCTGGACAGTTTGGAGTGCTGCCAAAATGAACATGTGAAAACCTGGAGACTCTGCAGTGGTGTATGCACCAGCAATCACTCCATATATATTTATAAACTTGGCAAGTGGGTGACGCACGATCATGCCACAAACCGAGGCTGTATCGTAGCATTAAGAATTTCGTGTACTATCAAATAAGACTTCAAGGCTGTCTGAGAGATAAGGGCCTCCACTCAGTAATCGGGCGAAACTGGGGCCTCGTTGCGGCTTCTTTCCTAAACTAAAACGGAATGTTCCCTACCGATTAAGTTGTTTTTGGCGACTTCAATACACTTAAGCAGTTCAAAGCCTTCGACCATTGGTAGTTGTGGTGTCTAGGGCCATTCGTTTCAGAAGATACTACTCAAGAATCTGCTCAGCTGGTATCTTCTTATGTTTTTTTTACTGATTTATTGTCTTTTTGGAAATATTGTTTTCTTAACGCTCCATTTTCTTTACTTGGATGAATACTAGGCCCTGGCGGCTGTTAATGCTCGGAAGTTGAAGTGCGTGGTCATGCGAGGCTCCTTTAGTGACTCCGGTATCCACGAATTTCTCCGCGACCTTTCCCAGGGACGTTCCTCCGTGCCCCTTATCCCTATTTCTGGATTGCCCGAGCTGAAAACGGTGGAACCATGGGATGGCAAAGACGCCCCGGTATGCGGTGTTCTCGCCTTTCTAGACTGACATCCAATGCATCCAGCTAGCCCACCATGTTTTCATGACGAGAGAGAGAATCAAGGTGACTGGAAATGGTCATGGGCAGAGCTGTTTGCTCTGAGCTTACGCGTTCAACACAGCTTCTGGTCCTTCACATAAGCCAGACTTCGAAGGAGAGCTCTTGAATCGCCCATCAAGCATTCCCGTAAAGGGCATATTCTGGAGTCAGTGCAACCTGATCTCCAGTTGTGCCACAGGCCAGCATCCTCCGAAACCACATTTTAGCGTGTCGGTATGATTAAAAACGCTCAAAGTTTATTGTAATGGCCAAAGTAGGCGCTGGATTTAAAACGCACTCTCCTTCATAATACATTGATATGAAGTCCGATTAGGGGTGCAATTGGGAGCAATGGCAGACGAGGCCAAACGCCTCTGTCTAACGCGCACTAGAAGCCCGTATGATCCTCGTTTTCGTCGAACCCAAAAAGGAAAGCAGTTTTAAGGGGCAACCATCTACATGTACGACGACAGTTTGATCGTCTCAAGTCACGCTGTCCAACATGTGCCCCACGGGGTGGACGTAGCCCGGTGACTTTCTCGTGAATTAGTTTAAAGTGGGGGGCAGACTTGCACTGCCTGCACCACACTCTGTTCCCACACTAGGATCCGATGGCAAGACGCCATCAAGACGACCGGTGGAGCGGAGACTCAGGCGCGGTGGCCGACAAAGCTTAACAGCCTGTCTACGCATGCCACTCATGACCTCTTCCCTACAGCTTGTATCAGGTTTTCATGAGAGTGGCTCGAATTTCACGTCTGTGAAAAGCCGCAATATGGGGGAACCATTGAGCCTGACTACCAATCCTCCAATTACTCTTAAATTACTCTCACGGGGATCGAGTTATCGCTTCAGTTGGCAGCCTTGCAAGTCAGGGTTGCTAGCACGTCAGACTTATTGTAGTGATGAACGCTCTGACCTGCCGTAATGATGGCTTCCGCATTGTCGGCCTCTCACTTCCATCTCCCACGTACTATTCAAGCCTGTTAACCAGGTGGTGATGGGCTTGATCGCAGCGACTGACGTGGTGTGAGGGTCTATGTCTACGCATGACACTAGACCCCTCCTGTGTGCGGCAGGAGTTATGGGCTCGTGTGGTCTCGGCGCAGTTCGATTCACGCGTCCTGTGAGCCAATCTGACTTCCGTTTTGGTCCAGCGCACCTGAGGCCATTCTCATGTACTTACGCAGAAATGAACAGTGACTATTTTCCTGTTAATCTACGTTTCACACAAGTGCACGTCCGTTAGAGAAGATTAAGCAGCCTTACACATTAGGGTGTCGGGAAATCACCATAGACAACCACAGAATGTACGCAGAAAAGGTCTATACATCGTTGATCCTAACGTGCATGAATATTATACCAACCATCCGTATTACGCCCGAGACGCGCTATCGTCTAAGGCCAACTAGGCGTCGGTCAAACGGCGTTTGCGATACATAACGGAAGAAATAACTGGAGTTGTTGGATCTGGGGATTAGGGTAAGCCCAAGCGCATTCTACAGGAATGAGGGCTGGAGATCAAGAGGGCCTAGGAGACGGCTGAATACAAGCTGAGAGCTGCTTGAGTCATTGTTTACTGGCCCCCAGTCCATTAACAAGTTCAACGACCTTCCCATCACATACTCGGTGCTGAGACTTCGCCTAGGCGGAGTAATTAGCCGCTCGGGGAGCGCACAGTTGAACACTCTTCCCAACGTCGGGGTCGGTGGGTCAGATGGTCAAGCAATCATCACACTAACATCCAACACGCGTGATGGAATTGCTGCAATTAACGACGCGAATGACGGCCATCAAACAGTCATCACACCAAGTGCAACGATCCCTGATGAAGGGGGGAGCCGTGAATATTCATAGGTATGCGGTAGCATGTCGACTGCATCCTATAAATACTGCAGACCCTTGCGCATGAACCACCCGTATCTGCTTTTCTCTCTGATGATGGGTTCGAGCAGGAATCCGAAACGTCAGGTGAATAAAGCTCTTGTCCCAGCGATCGTGTCTCTTTCACAAGCCTTAACAGCCTCCCACTTCTTTAAGTCTAGCCGATATCACTAGTGTGGAATCGACCCCTTATGACATTGACGGCTGAGGTCCACATCTCTGCGAAAACTCCCGAACACCATGGAAGGTCACAACGATCCACATCCCATCCCCTCACCCTGATAACCTGGCTTCTCATCTGAAATTCACATTCACGATGTCCAGAAGACAGTAGTTTCAACACAACAAGTCTGTCTCGATTGAAATGCATACCTCCCGTGTCAGATAAATTTCCAACTGACGGAAAAAATACCCTTCGAATAATCTGTTACTCTTTTGTCCCCCTTGATATTTCAGACTGTTAACTGTCGCAATCTGTTTCAAACTTCTAGGTCATTGAGGAGGAAAAGATCGACCTGAGCGAACTGGGAATCAAGACCGAGCTGTAGGCACCTCTTCTCTTCCGCCCTCCCCCCACCTCCTCCTCGTGTGCAGGCTCGCTCAACAGGCGCCGACAGTACTTGTTGCATTGTTTATTTGGGTTGATTTTTTTAATGGTGCCGGATGTTTTTGTACTCCCATGCTCCCGATCCTGTATTCCTGCCCCGCATAATATCCTCTTGTTCGAAGCAATTTGTTTTTAATTTCATTTCTCTTTAAAATGTCTGCCGTCTGGACACAGCCATCCAGATAGATGTCCACCAAACTAAAAGCTGTGATGGGGCAGTTTGTGGAGCCGTCGGAGTTCTATCTCCATAAGTAATCAAAGCTCGCCACTGTCACTTTGATTCTGGGCTGACGCCTTTGTCTCGGGGATGTGCTAATAAGGGCAGCTGTGGAACCTGCGATCTCCTCTCCCCCTTAGTTTCTCAATCAGGCCAGAGCCACCGTGCGCTAAGAGTGGCCAAAGACTTCAAGAAACAAGTCCGTTTAAAAATGGTTAGTTGGATAGACGTCCTCCCGTCAGCAGTGCCAAAATTTTCTGTTATGCCATCCATAAGCAATTCCGCGTGTGGTTTAATCCCCACAAACCTTCAGCTCATCCGACCAATTCGTGGATGAATTGCGTTGTTATGTTGACAGAAAATATGCTGGAGTTGTTCATTACGGCCTCTGTTCGTCGTCAGCACCACTAAGTCACCAGTAATGGCGAGAAAGTTATACCCAGGTAGCATATCAAATGATAGAAAGGCGTTAATGCGAAGAGGGGAGGCCGAGCAGCGTACTCGTATTCTGATGTTTTACGTGACAATTTTGACCGCCGAACCTACCTTATTTTAGGGGACTCCGTCCACAGTTCTTATTGCATGGCGCATAAGTTGAGGCGGACCACCAAGGGTTCGGGAGGCAGATGTCCAAGGCGTACAAACAGAAGGTTTGGGTGCACACGTCAACGATGCCTTCGTTAGTACTGCAAACAGGTTTGATTACCGAGCAAGTAGTATTTACTAGTACTTGATACGGCTGCGATCATGCCTGATCTAGTCGGCCTCGATGATGTCCCGAACTGTACCTCTACACGCATGACGATCCGCGGCAGCGGATATGGGCAGCTCAACCTATTCCCTTCGCCAACGACGGAGATCGAATACCGAAGGTCCAAGAACCACCTCCATGTCTTGACGAACTGTGTCGAGCCAGGTTTTGAACTGACCCCCTCCTTGACACCTCCAATGGGCCAACGGTGTCGGATCGAGGGCAGTAGGACTGAGCTCCTGAGGTGGACGACAACGAACATGCCCGAACCACCTCAGTCGTCTTGGATGGCCTGAGTTATCCTTGCGATGTTGTCGCAGCGAGCGCGGACTGTCTCATTTGAGACGAAGTCGGTGAACTTCACTCGAAGGATGTCCTCTGGCAGTGGTGGTCAAGTGCCTCCAGTTTTCGCTCATCCTCCACGCGCAAAGCCCAGCATTCACAGCCGTAGAGAAAGACAGGCTGGACCGACGCACGGTACACGTGAATCTTAGTAGCGATGGAGAGGTCGCGTCTGATCCATAGGCAATTTCCGGAGGCTTGAGCAACCCCAGCGGGTAGCATCGATTCGGTAGACAAGGTCATCCGTACTCTGTCCATTAGGCAGCAGCCTCGCCCCATGGTACTTAAAACTGTCTACTTCAAGTTGACAGCCATCAATCCCGAGGGGTGCCTTCTCCTGGTCAGGGATGCAGCTTGAGAACACTTTGGTCTTCCCAGCGTTTATGGACAAACCGACCGATTTAACGACCTCGTTCACCCGTGATCACCAAAACGTGAAGCAGGTAAGGCGATATCATCGGCATAGTCGAGATCAGTCAGTCGATGTCCGGGTGCAAATTCAACGCCGTCGCTCTCGCGTAGGGCCCTCCCGATGATCCAGTCAATAGCGTAGTTGAACCGTATGGGTGACAGAATACAACCCTGTCGGACGCCAGACCGAATACGGAACGGTTGGGAAGGATTTTTGCGGACCAGGACTCGCCGTAATGGTGCGATAGTAGGCCTTGATAATGGCGATGATTTTTGCCGGTACACCATCTAGCGCCATTATCCGCCACAGGGACTCACGGTGAACGGAACCGAACGCGGCGGCAGAGTCAATGAAGCAGACGGCCGTCGGTTGTTGGTAGCTATGGCGAAATTCGAGAATGCGCCTCAGGATGAACATCTGGTCTGCGCATCCACGTCCAGCACGGAATCCGGCTTGGTTGGGCCTCGTCCTTGAGTCACTGCAAGTAGTACAGTTTACAAAGAAGGACCGACTTCCTATCCCGGGTATCTGCGTGCCGCAACCCGACTGGCGACGACGAAATGCAAGGAATAGGCCAGCACGAACTATGTGGCATGCTATAGCGGCAGCCGCCCTTTGCGGCACAAGTGAAGCTGTGCATAAACGCGCAACATTAGTGAAAGAAAACTCATTACAGTACGCCATTTGCCAAGCGGGGCGAGACCAGGGGACCTCCGAGAGCCTCTTAAACTAATAGGAATGCACAGCGATTTGCTGAGAGTAGTGGAAGGACACGAAGCGGCCGAAAAGAAGACTTAAGCCAGCCCTGATCCTGGCGAATAGTCCCGTATATTTCAGTTTCAGTTTATTTGGTAAGGATAATAGGCAAAGCCTTTGAAAACCCTATTGATTACATGT